GGAAGTGCCAGCCACCAGTGGTGCTTTCCAACTAGGCAGCAGCAGCGGGGATTAATGCGTAGTCCTCTATGCTGAGAGGTGAACTGTGCCTCTTTGATACACCCAAGACACCTGATTAGCTTTCATACTTTGAAAAGCACCCGAGTGGATGAACACGCTACGGCTACATGTTGGTATCAGTTAAGGCATCGTTTTTAAGCTCATTTAAGAAACAATTTTATATCGACACTGAACTCAATGATTTCCTGTATATGAGGGATGTCTCAAGAACCGATATTTGAAACCCAAAATTCTCCAGTAACATAGGGACCGGGGGTTTACAATTCTTCTGGACCTGACAGGGCGGCGTAAATGCCTGCAAATGTCAGTGTCTGCCGTTAAATGCCGAAGGGAAGAAGAACACCTATCAGTGCTTAAGAAAAACAGCACATAGAAGATCGCGATAAGTGCAGCTGCAGCGACAGCTCCGCCCGAGAACTTCAATTCTATTTAATTTAAATGTTTTTAATAACAGAGTGTATGTTTAAGTACATGGGATTTATTGTTTTTGTTTTTTACCGTGGTATAGTATTGGGTGTTGAGAATCGTGGAGTTCCATTGGTATTGATATCGATTACTAAATTCTTACTATCATGGCATGCCTATTGTATATGGTTACCTATGCTTTTATGGCAGGTGGGGATTTTATTTTCTTCTACATGAATGAGGGAATGTAAAAGAGCCAGAAAGACTGCACACTTACAGACAATGCCCGGTGTCGAGATGCCCATGACGTCACAGCCTTTGGGGAAGAGCAGGTTCAGTTCGTCAGCTGTGTCTGGACTGTGACGACTCCTTTTCGCTACAGAGTAGTAGAGAAAAAAAACATGCTAACGAGAAAGGTTGCCAAATGCTTATTTCAATAAGCACATGTTGCTGGAAATAAAAAGTCTATTACGCAACTATTTTAGATTAAAATATATTTACATCAGCAAAGCTCCTCTTTCTTAACAATGAGACTGTAATTCTACTTTCTTAATGTAGAAAATTACCGCTAAATACATATGGTAGAATTTTTAAATTTCAGTGAGATCTATAAGAAACAAATACGAGCAAATTAATATACAAGTCTTAATTTTCAATTTTTGGTTGGCTGGCAGGTGTCTGTTGGTTCTAGTCAATAAATAAACTCCTGTTTTCAGTCCATGTGGAAGTTGTATTAAACGGCAGGTAACCAAAGCAACTATGAAATAAACTTCACCATGACTACAACTGACTACAAACAAACTTTGAATGACACCTTCGGTGCATCTTTTCTGGCTTTTAAGTATAAAAAAATCCCCAAACAAACAAACAAAAAAACCCTCCATGATATAAGTGCCATAATACTCCCTAATGGGGTATTTGTGCTTAAAGTGCAGGTTATCAGTACTAACATGTACTACTGAAACTGCAGTGACAAAGAGGAACAATGGTCACAAGATGAAACTGACCAACAGGGAACAGACTGTGAGCTTAAACATAACATGATTCCTTTTATTGTTTTATGATTACTTTGCCCTCTGAATGTAATAGTGCAGCGAGTAGTCTGTCCCATGTTAGCGGCTTCTAGTTAATGTTGTACTCGCAAAGAGAGATCCATCTTATATTATATTTCAGTAACCTCTTGTTCCAACACAAGACTAGAAGACGGGAGTCTGAAGCAGGGACTTTAGATAAAATCTCTTGCTTTGAAACGGCATAACTCCACCCCTCTGGTTAACTAACAAAACAACAGAGGCAAGACTACAGTGACACAGACAACCTGAAAAACAACATTCTTGTACTTTTTTTTTTCCCCCAAATGGATGTGCATATATGTATGATTTTAAATTTAAGGGATTTTTATAGTTAACATTTTTTATTCCATCCATTTATCACATATTTAACATATGTGTAAAATACACATAATACAGGTTATCTGTGCATCCCAAATTTATTTTTGGCATATGAGACGCCTTCCACGCAATTATGATGCTGTTGTAACACTAACTAAATCTGTATTGCTGAAGGATTGTGTTACACCACTTATGTCATAGGACATGTCTTTCTACCAGGAAGAGTATCCATTTTCTGCAACTTATACATGTTGTTCTCTTCACTCCAGTACATTTGTCTGATAGCTTTAGTTACTTTAAGGATTAGAATTTTAATAACCATTCCTGTGAAGTGAAAACTATGTATTTCCAAATTTCTGGATTTTTAATGTGAATGTTTGTAATAAACCTAAGAATATAACGAGTATAGAAAATGCATCATCACAAAGCTGAGAACAGACCTGTTTTTCTGAGCTCATGAAAAGTTGACTTTTAAAATATATGCAATTCACACACAAGAGCGATGCTAATGTATGATGAACCTACAGAATAGGATGCAATGTAATAGATTAAACTTTCCAACAATGTATATGGTAGATAAAATTAGCACAGCTGACCATGTTTACCATCAGCAGCAGCAAAATGCAACATAGACATTAATGCAGCAGTATATTGATCCATAAACATTTTACTGTACAATGAATACTTTTACTTGTGGACCTTTAAGTAAATGTTCCTGGTAATACATATTTTTACATCAGTTAGGTTTTGGAAGCAGGAGTTTTACCTGTAGTGTCGTATTTTCACAGTGTGGTATTAGTAAAGTCTCTGAATACTTCTTCCACCACTGCTTTCCACTAATACCACAATGTATGCATGATACAGATGTGCACCTCACAGACGACAAACTAACAAACACAGTATAGTAAAGTCCATCAGCACTGAGTACCAATATCTAATACATACCTTTATTCTGTCTGTAGCAATATTCTTGTCCATTGAAGGCCTCACAGTCTACCAGTGCCAGAACTGTTTTGGGCAGGAGAAACACTTTCTGTGAGGAATCAGAAGCAAAGAACGTGTGTTAAAACAGTGTTAGAGACTCTGCTGAATGCAGTCTGGGCACAATACATGGGCCAGCAATATACCACACATTATTAGTCATTTTTAATTAAAAAAAAAAAACATGAGATAAAGTATTTTTTTTATCAGCTCCAGAACACATTTCCAGGTTGTCACCCCAGGACTACAAGAGAAATCATTTCAAGATGTTAATTATCTACCACTACCATCATCCATGTTACTCCTATACTGCAAATTTGCCAAGTACAGGTCTTTTACGTCCCAAACAGCTCTCCATGCATTACCTCCACCTCCTCAGCCAGGATGCTGCAGAGGACATGGGCCTCTGTGTTGGACGGTCCACAGGCTGACACCCAGGTCAGCTGCTGTTGAGTCCTCAGCACTCTGCGGGCACAGTTTCTCCACAGTCTGCACACACTGTGGAGGAACACAAACACTCAGCTTTACCTGCTAGCTCGGTCCAAACTTGGCCAGAGAGTTAGCAATTCAGTTCGTGCGTCTGTCAGGTAAACAGGAACAGGCAGCTGCATGCAAATAACTTTCACATAAATGTTAAGTTAGGTTAAGTAAAATTAGTCCTAAATTACTCTGGCTGTCACAGTAGCTCTCTAACTGTCCTGTGTGTGTCTGAAAACTAGTTTCACTTCCATTCGACAGCCATTAGTGTTAGCCAAGTTAACTCATTAGCATACAAATATTTCCCGTTACCTTGCGATGCGGAGGAGAGATTTGGTCGGTACGAACGTCAGGATCCGCTCCACCACTTCTGCAACATTGCTGAGTACGTATGATGCCTTGCTGTCTTGTAAAGAGACGGTAAAGTCTTGGTTTTCACCCATATTTCGCTCTCAAGTCGTGTCTGTTCCAGCACGGTTACCAAGCTAACTTTCACCTCTGCTCTTCCGTCACTGCAGATGCGACACAGTGCCCCCTGCGGCGAGGAGGAACTATGGCAGCTTAAAGGTTTACCGTAGTTTGGTTGTTTTGACTTGTGCTAACACATGAGAGAACATATTTCTGTTACACATTGTTTATTTCTGCTGGGATCTCTTTTTCTTTTTTGCCCCCCCCCCCTCCTCCCCCCCTTTTGAAATACTCAAGGGGGGTACTCACTTTAGCACTTTTTAAGTTCCTCATATGATTCCATCTCATGTCCAAACTGAGGCTATAACCTGTGATAATAGGTCATAAGTAGACATGTTTCTTTTTGTTAACAATGCTAGCACAAAAGGGGTTGGGAACTACTGCCTAATAATACTTTCATAAGTGACAATGTTGTGCTTTTTATTTTTATTTATGTGCTAAGTGTCACTTCACTGTAAAAGATTAGTGCTTTGTTGGTAGTGGTATGTATAGAATTTCATGTTAGAAGGCGGCCACAGTAGTGAGATCTTACATTTACCCCTATTTTGTCTACACAATATCAAACTACAGTTATCACCTTGTGGTTGTATGCCCCTGCAGACCAGTCATGTTGCAGTTACAGTTCACATCCATGTCGGACCGCAATCATGTAGCCATTACAGTGCTTCAAATATGGATGTTGCTGCAAAGAAGCTACATATTCAAAAAAATGAATGCTTCACACACGTCATCAACCTGCAGCACAGAAGATCGATATAACTGCCAGAGGTTCAAGGTGGACAGCCAAGATTAGTGTCACCAATTCAGTACCTGACCAAATGTCCCCCTTCTGTTCCAGAGAAGAGGTGAATGGGAAGAAAAAAAAAAAGAAGTTGCCCTTTGACCTTTTTTGTGTCATCACCTCATTATATCCTATTAGACATTTGTGTGAAATTTTGTCATAATTAAGATATGAATTCTAAAGTTATGGCCAAAAACATGTTTTGTGGGGTCACTGTAACCTTTGACCACCAAAATCTAATCAGTTCATCGCTGAGTCCAAGTGGACGTTTGTGCCACATTTGAAGAAATTCCCTCAAGGCATTGATTTCATAAATCACAAGATTGGGACATACATACTAACATACAGACAACCTGATAACATGATGCCTGCAGCTGAGGCTGGCGCAGAAGCACAAACATTCCAGAGAAACATTTGCAATAAAACCAAACTTGAAATAGGTTATACTGGATCCAACCATTTATTGATGATCTTTACATTGCCAAGATAAAATGGGCGAGACAAAAATAGAAAAAAAAAAAAGAGTTTCTCAAAATGAACACAAAAGTGAGTACCATGTGCACACATTTCTTTTACTTGACTGATCCTAACAGTACATTCAAGCAACTGTGCTAAGAATTCCTTCCTTGCTAAACTGGAAGTATACAACATCACTGACAGTGAATAAATGCTTACAATACAGAAGAAACAGAGACACACAAGTAACTTTACAAAAGTACACATAATAAAAGTCCCTTTAATATAACCTTGTCTTAACTTATGGCTTTGCTGACGAAGATTATGTGCAGTATGATTCCCCAAAAAGTGCAAATCTCCCAACATGTACATGTAAACTTAACATATGCAGTGAATTGTAACTGACCTTTGATTACAGTGTGTAATGGAAACAGTGTCATTTAACCGTAGCTCACCGGAGCCACGTGTGCTGCCTTGAGTGGAGCTCGTTTCTTCAGGATGACAAGGTCAGAGGACATATACAAACACAAGGCCCGACGTTATCTGTAGCAGCCGTATATGGGAGCCAGCCATACTCAGAGCAGATGAGGCAAGGCAGGGAGAGGAACAGAGCTGGGTCAAATGTTAACCATCTCCATTAGAGTCTGATCCAGCATCTGCTTTACGCTCAGGCCTTCTTCTTTAGCTCGTGTGAGTTTCTCTGTTAATATAGCATTGCATCGGTTAAAAACATCATAGAAACAGCGCAGAGATGCACAGAGTATAAACAGACAAAGCTCTAGCCCAGGATAAGAGTGTTGATATGTGCTGGATGTTGTTGAAAACCTTATGAGTGTGAGAAATTTCACCATAATATATTTGTTAACAGCAGTTTGCATTCATTAAGCACCACATATCCACAACTCCAATAACTGTGAGCCCACTTACTGGAAATATTATACTCAGGCTATAGACAGGGCTGCAGTCAAGACTGCGTGAGCTGGTTTTTAGGACAAGAGAATGGTGCTTTGCCCACTCTGATTTGGCAATGGATTTAAATGTTGCTCATGGCTTACAGTATCAAGTCCAGACACCATCTCCAGGAAGTTTCGGGCCAATCAAGACAAAAAAACGTGAGCACCAATTCAACCCCAAGAGACCTCTATAGAAACAAATGATTTCCCTGCACAGCTACCTCTAATGCTGTTTACCCTACTGCAACTCTAATTTAACAGGCATGTATGTGAACTCTCATATGTATCAGTAGTCAGCACTGCATCTTTGCAGCTTCACAAAGTATACTCCTTCATCCTGTGTTGCTATTTAGACTTCAGTGAATTCTGAAGGTTTGCTTGTTCAGCGTGTTTACGCTCATTGTGAGATCAGGGACAGTCTGTCAGGAAAATCAAATGTATTATATAAAAAAAGGTAATAAAAAAACAGACGTGTGTCCTGACCGATGTGCTACAGATTAAAAGACGACCCTCAAAGAAAAAAATAAGTCCAACAAGCAACAAGAGAGCAAGTCAAATCTATATTCGCACCAAAATTATGGGCAGTTTGGTTTTACATTCCTGTTTTGTAGCTTTCAATTCATACTTCAAACCTGTCTTGTCTTTAAGGTTAGCTATTATAACATTACAGAGGGGATGATGAATGTACAAATTCTAGACCCCCTACAGCATTTTATGAGCCTTCCCCAGCCTTCACCCCATGAGCAACAGCACCATGAAGATTTTAACTGATATGCTACAACCCTGTCGATAACTGAGTAAATGCATCAACTCTTCTTAACCTGAGGTTTTCCAACCTCCCGTCTAAATCTGCAGTTTGAGCATGCATAATGTTAAAATCTTACGTTGTATTCCCGTTTGTTGAAACCATTACTTGGTTTAAGCTTTGTGTCATAGACACGGTTGTCTATACTTGTTTTGTTATATCACAGCATTAGACAATATGCCTGGACGTTTGAGATTCAGAAGAATGAAAGCACATGAGAGCCCGTTCCAGATTAAGCTTCATTTAAGGCTACTCTCAGTTCATTGGTCAGAAGGCGGTTTTTCTCAAGCTGCTTGTATAGGTGGTCTTGACAGTCAGAAAGCAGGTAAAGAGAAAAAGGGAAAGAGACAGAAGGCAGGTTAGTACATAAGACAAAGAGTTAGTGGAGCTGATCACAAAACAAGTGACAAGTTCATGTTCAAGCTGTTGAAGTGCTGACCTCATGAACATCAAACTAAAGCATTTCCAAAAAGGTGGCTAACTTTCTGTCCTGGTTACCCATGGCAACATCACCTTCTCATTATTCCTTTAGAGCTTGCTGAAGCTTTTACTGAGAATTTTCTTGTGTGTCCATGATATTAAGGATAGCCGGGAAGAAGCCTACACATAAATACCCAATGCCTAGTACAGACTCAAAGTCACTGGCTTCTGGTGCAAGGACCAAGGCTAGGCTTATCGTGCTAGAAACACCAAAGCTAAAATCAATCTCTAAGACAGTGGTTCCCAACTGGTCCAGCCACAGGGTCCAGATATCTCCTGAGTCTGTATTTCAAGGTCCACAAAGTTTAATATATTCAGCGTTATACTGATGTTGGCCAAGTCCTCCAGCTAGTTTACAGTCTCTGTTAAGTAGCTGTAAATGTTACTTCAAAATAAAAGTTAGTGCCAGAAATTCACTGTACTTCAAAATAAAGTGTGTTTTTTCCAAAACTTGACGTTTGTGAGTCACTTGCAGTCCATTTATGGAGCCCTGACCCACTTTTGAACCACGACCCACCAGTTGGGAACCACTGCTCTAAAAAGTTTACCAATCAAATGACAGACCTCTCTTCCTTGCAGAGGCAGTGTGTAGTATTTAGTGGCACCTAGTGGTGAGGATGGCTGCCTACAACCAGCTGCAACTTCTTCCATGAGCCAAAAGTGAACTCTCGGTTAAGATTGCTTCAGTGTTCTTTGTTCAGGAGTTTTTCACCATGAGCCAAATTTACAGAAGTCTCTTCCTCTCCAAAACAAACGGACCGGGTGATTAAAACCAGTTATAAAGCAGTTTCATATTACAGTACAAATTAATGTTTCTCCAACGCTGTTCGGTTTGTCGCAGATTTTAGGGGGAGCCCAATTATCTGCAGAGGTCCCTTTCTCTCGAAAACAAATGGAGCTGGTGATTTAGACTACTTAAACACTGAATAAAGCAATTCTACATTAAAAATCTGGGTTTTTCTGATGCAATCATGGATGGAGGGGCTGCTAACTAAGATGGCCAACACAAAAACGCAAACATAAAACGACTCATTCTAAGGCAAAGAAAACAACAATTCTTATCTTCCAGGACACTAAAGAAAACATACCTATTATATTATATTCAATTTTAGCCAATATATCCCCCTGAATCCTACACACTGGACCTTTAAAGGAGGGTGCCTCCACTAAAGATCATTAAGGTTTGAGTCAGTATTTACATTTAAAATCCCTGGTGATGCAGTTTATCCTTTAACCACAATAGGTGTGCTTAAGGCATCAGAGTTTGGAAACTTACAATTACAATACAGAAAGCAGCTGTTCAAATTTTAACTTATTTTTCTATTTCAAAAGGAAAACAGAGGACAACCATTGTATTTCCTGTGAACACTTCTTTGTTACAAATAAAGAGGATTAATTAAAATACTGCCATTATAACAAATAACCATCCTCTCAAACAGAAAAAGGAACAGTGGGTGGGAGAGGAGCCTCAAGAGTTTATTCAAAAGCTACTCGACAAAACAAATTAAAAAGACACAGAAGACAAAAAAAGAGAAAAGATGGGACAAATGGAAATGAAGAAACATCGCAGGAGAAAAGGGGGAAGGGCTGGCATAGATGGAAGAATGTTTATTTTAAACAAAGCAATAGGGCTCAAAGGTCTGTATGAGAGATGAACAAATGGATGGCGGCAGCGACAGCCCGGTGTGCAGTAGTGACGGGGCAGTAAGGAAATACAGAGACAGAGAGTCGGGCTGCGCTGCACAGGAGAGAGATGATGTTCAACCAGCTTCTGGGCTGAGGGGTGTAAAAATTTAGCTGTGAAAAAAAGGAGAAGAACAAAAAGTGTTGGAGATATGAAAAGGAGGAATGGAAGATAAATGTCATGCAGAACAAAGGAGGGGAAAGGAATGCAGAACTGAGCCAGAAAAGCTAAAGAAAATCAAGCTTATGAAGAAATGTGGCTATGTTGCGAGAAGCTCAAGAGAAGAGAAAAAAACCCCACTACAACTAAGTGTAGTTAATAGATAACCAAAGGTTTGGTAAATCTAGCCTAAGAACCTAGTCAGCAATATATCCAAACACCTTTAGTGCACACACACACACACACATCAGGGTTAGACAAGCAATAGCTGCACTCAAACATGCCAGGAGAGGGAGCTATTGTATCTTGGAAAAAGTGGTTAGGGGTGCTGAGATCTAAGGCACAGAGCAGAAACAAGCATGTGGTGAATTACATGGAAGTCATGTCGTTGAGGGCGTGGTCCAGCTCCTCGCTGATGGCCTTGTACTTCAGTTTCTGGGCATACAGCTCATCTATTGTGTGGTAATTATTGTGAGGTGGCAGTGAAGGATTTGGAATAAAACAAGAAGACAGCAGAGAAATAATAGCGTCAGAGAACAGAAGTCAAAAAGGGGAAAAACACAAATAGAGAAACTGAAAAAGAAAAAAGAGAGCAGGACAGAAATAGGAAGTGCACATGAACAGCTGCTGATGTTGTGTCAGATTCCTGAGGAGTCACTGAGAAACTGCATCACATGTTCCGTGACCCTGAGAGGACTGCTTGGGACGAGCTGGCCTTGAACAGTCACTACAGCAGCATGCCAAACAGCATTGTGGTGAGAAATGTTGCCAACATGAATAATATCACGCCAGCCTCTATGGATCGCTGCTTTGTTTCCGTCCCCCCATAGGCCATGCAGATATGTGTCCTGAGGTCTATTTAGCACCCCGCTACCCAGATAAATAAATAACCTCACTGTTTCTTTTTTTAACGACTGCCCCTTTAAGAAATTAGAAGAACGAGAAGAACACTCTATGGAGGAAACCTGAATAAGTTCGCACTATGACAAACACACCCCTATATTTTGTGTTTTCAAATGCCAAAAAATTAAAGTAGAAAAGATTCATACCCTCCAAGTCATCAATGGTCTTCTCAAGCTTGGCGACTGATCTCTCAGCGAACTCAGCACGAGTCTCAGCCTGAGTGAAACAAACATTAACGATTCACATTAACAATTCATATTAAAAAGGTTTACATTACCAGCCACAGCCCTGTAAGCATTTTAAAAAAACAGAATATCACTTCCAATAAAACAAAAATGCAAAGTCAGCATACTCATTTTAATTAACTAAAGAGGCAACATCTAAATCTTCAGGTTTACTGTAGTTCTACAAAATGCTTATGTAAAAAAGGGAACACAGCATCTTTTTTACAAAAATGACTCACTAGCAAATTTTGCCAACCTAATTTCAACTCACCTCCTTCAACTTGTCTGTAAGAACCTTGATCTCCTCCTCGTACTTGTCCTCCTTCTGTGAGTACTGTGGTCGCATACAAAGGCCAGAGTCAGGTGCATATACACAAGACAATTTTAAACACACTTCAAGGGTTTATACTGCGGATTATTTGCAATGTATCATCCTGGTCAGCAGCCCTACCTTCTCTGCCTGAGCCTCCAGAGACTTCAGGTTGTTCTGTACGGTTTTCAGCTCCTCCTCAAGCTCGGAGCATTTGCTGTTGATTTACGGTTTGGGTTGAACCAGCAGGAAGATGCCACAGACAAACAAAAAAACAAACAGAATTTGTCTGAAATGTTATTTAAAGTTGTGACTTGGAGGAACAGATGGGAGGAAAAGGAAGGACGTTTTTACCTTTCAGACAGCTCAGCGCGCTCCTCTGTACGTTCCAAGTCACTCTCAATGATCACCAGCTTACGGGCCACCTGAAGTCACAACGTACAGAGTTAAGTTTAATACATCAACAATGAAACGGAATTAAATTTCTTCTGTGGCTGTAACTCTATTTATGACAATGTGGCTATAATGTGCATCTGACAAAGTGTCCACTGATGCCAGCTGCTACATTTAAGTAAAAGAATGTAGAAAACGCTGAGCTCAAACTTCAAAGTGCAGTGAACAGCTGAGAAACATGCCTCCTCGTATTTGCGGTCAGCCTCCTCTGCAATGTGTTTGGCCTCCTTCAGCTGGATCTCCTGCAGCTCCATCTTCTCCTCGTCCTTCATTGCCCTGTTCTCAATGACCTTCATGCCTCTGAGGGGAGAGAGAACATAGTGTGGTGGGTTAAGACGTGGAAAACACAGGCACAACAGCAGGTCAGTATGTTTTGATAATTCCCTGATGATAATAAAATTTTAACTAACAAAGATGAGTAGTTTCTTATACGGGCTCAGGAAATTCCATTTTAAACTGATAAACTTTACACAGAGCACATGACTCCTACTGAGGTCTAATAATAGTGAGAAGGTGGTCTGAAATTTCAGACAGGGACTTTCAGAGACATACACTTACATATTTGAACAATAAGTCTGGATATTTTACAGATATACTCATATGTCATATCATAGTGGTGGACAATAGATTACAGCGATTCTTTGGACAGTAATACAATGCTTGCTGATATCACAAAGTCTGCCACGAATAAGATTTGATTAATTCAGGGGCCTGTGATCGATATGAGACGATACCAGTTAATGCCCTCATTGTCTCTTTCTTGGCTGTTTGCCATTCTCTGCCTGGCATCAGATTGCTAGCAGTGTATCAATGTTTAGGGAAGGTGTGCTCGGATGGAAATTGTGACGTGTCATGGTAATTTCAAAACAAAGGCGTAAAAGCATAAAGATGACGATATGTATCAATAATTTCACTTTGCACTGATGAGACTGGGTCATCGATCATTAAATCGATATTTCAGTCCAGATTGATTTATTGTTACACCCCTAGTGGACAACACTGGGTACATGATGGATTGTGTGTAAGTGGTCAGGTTTGAATAAACACCAAGTACTGCATGTCACACTCATGGTGAGGAGTGGGACTGTATTATCCATGCTTTCAACACCTACATTTGTTGCATGAAAAGACTAAGTTTCTATCAAAATGCCACAGGTGTGCTTTCCACTTTTGGTCAGGGGTGATTGTATTAAGTATAAAGTACCATAGATATCAACAACTGTGCAGACATGCTATAATGCAACATGTCAACAAAGAAAACTAATTTCCCAGCCCCATGTTTCAGCTCAGTACCACACCTCTAAAACATTAGTGCAATCTGTCTTCCAGCCAGCAGTGGCAGCACTGAGCAGGATGTGAGGAGTGGTACTCCAACAGCATGAATCAGGTGCAATCTTTGATTTGCTAGCATACTGTAGTTTAGCAGAATCCAGCACTTCAGTGCCAGAGTCATAAAAAACTTGTTTTCCTATTTGTCTTAAAGTCATCCAGCAGCAGCATGACCGCTGTGCTCCAAAATGTTTGCAGCAGCATGTGACCGGATTGGTGCAGTGACTCCAGGCTGAATTTTCTTCTGTTTGACTACAAAGATCCTGTCCTAACCCTGCCACATCATGCTTTACTAAGGAATATATTTCACTGAGATGATGGAGAACTAATGGGTGGAGGACTACGCATATGAAAAGTGCAGCTATGATTTCTTGCATAATACCAAGACCTAACAAAGGAGTGTATGAGTGGACTGTGTTGACCAAGTGGGGTCTTTGCTCCAGGTGCATGGTGCCCACCTCTCGCTCTCATCAGCAGCCTTCTCAGCCTCCTCCAGCTTGGTCAGCGCTGTAGCCAGACGCTCCTGTGCGCGGTCCAACTCCTCCTCAACCAGCTGGATACGTCTGTTCAGGGAAGCTACATCACCCTCAGCCTAGGAGAACACAACACCACATTCATACAGTCAAATCAACTTCATTTGTATAGCTTAACATCATGTATTATGTGTCAACTGGCTCTGCAAGCTTACAACACCCAAACCATCCCATACTCCCTCAGGAGGGGGCTTGAGCTGGGTCAGGGACAAACCCAAGGGAGGGATGGAGACTCTAATGGGCTGATTTTGTTCATTTCTATTCTTTTAATACAGATTTTAGACCTACCACATGTTAGCAGAGCCCGTAAAAACAATCCAACCCCATTTATTTACTCTTCCAGCCCTCTTTCCAGTCAAGGCTGTCTCTGTGATTGTAGCAGTATCTTGTCTCATGAACACACAGGCGACACAACATGGTTACAGTTTGGTATTTAAGAGAGGAAAAAGCAGCTCCCCTGTGCTCCAACTAGCTGGTAGCTGCGGGAGTTTCACAAACGGATTTGATGCCAGAGGACCTGTGGTGCTGCTGCAGCAGCGTTAGCCTAATGTTACTTATTACAGTGCTGTTTGTTTATTCAGGGGCGAGCCGGGTGGAGTCCTTTCATCCACCCATCTTTAACCCGCATCCTACAGTGGGCTAATCTCAAGCATGCATGCATTTGAGCATAAAGCGTCGCTGTCTGGGCCTAGCAGCCACGCTTTTTGACCAGATTTACGCCTAATGCCGTCGACAGCCTGGGGACTAATTGCCTTAAATAATTAGCGGAGCGGCTTACTGCTTCCCTCGCACTCCTCTCCTGGTTCAGTTCCCGCTGTAGTAACGCTGCCCGGTCCTCCGCCGCATCGGCCTGGTCCTGCAACGACTTGATTTTCTTCTTCACAGCTTCCAGAGAGCTCCCGCCGGCCATTTTTGCTCCTTTTTTTTGTGTCTCGGCTAAGCTAGTTTCACCCTCAGCTCGGTGTAGGATGCCTGCCTCAACGCAGACACACACACTTGGAGATGCGGCGCGTTTGATCCCTGCCCCCACCGCCTTTAATCAACCGCTGATGAGGATTGGGACGTGCCATCAATCCCGGAAGTACTTGAGTTCACACGCAAGTAATAAAATTTATCAAACGAATAAATAAAATATATTGAATGCGCTGATTTCCAGTGTTTTTTTCTTTTTAAAGTCATTTAATTTCTTCTACTTTTTGTTAGTTAGGCTGTACAACTATCTAATTCATGACGTGATTTGAGTGCATCCCCTGCTGGTGCATTGAGCTGACCCTACCAAAATCACAGCCCCAAACATTTCTCATTCAGTCATGAGCTAAGTTACAATTGTTTCCACACAGAGCTTATTAAGACTCTAATTTATTAAAAAAACATAAATCTTCTTGTCACTAGCAATAATAATAGTTCCTCAGCTGTTGGCCTGTGTCCTGCTGTCTTTGTGGGGCTACTAAGGGACTGTACTTTACTAATGAGGGAAAGGGGGTGGCTGAGGTGTAACTTTTTTTGACCCTCCTGGAAGCTACAAATATTTTTTTTCTTGAGCTTCCCTGAGTTACTGGGGGATAACGCATGACCACCACCATATTTTCTTCTTATAACTACACCAAATGTAGGTATTGGAGCCGATGCAATGAGCAAACAGAGAAGTTTGAGTTGTCACAAAATCAAAAAGCTAATTTCTTGAGCAAAGTGCAAATTATCTTTAAAAATAATGCGTTAAAGGACTGTCAGAAATCTGAAAATTGATGATAATTTCTGTTTCCACAGTTTCAGGCTCTGGTAAATGGTGTAATTTTTACAGAAAACGTGCCATTCAAACCTCAGAGGGTATTTAAAATAAATGCAAAACACAACCATTTAAAGTTGTATGTCCTTTTCCTAAGCCAAAATAATAATAAAAAACACAAGTCCCTCCTTTGGACCACCTCCTTTCCCCTCATAAGTAACGAACAGTCCCTAAAAGATCTGACATATTTCGTTTACCTGCTACAAGTGCAACACATGTATCTGGTGCTGCTGACACTGCTGTCTACAGACACGGGATACTTTACCCACCACCTTTGTGCATTCCAGTGCATTTTGTATTGTATTTCTTTATTTATTTATAAATTACAACTTAATAAAGCCTTGATTTTGTTTGTGATTTCATTTGATTCAACCAGACACTCCTGCACTTACTATTTGTCCATGGTGTATTGCATTTATCACACTTCATTATGTAGCAAATACTCAAAATGTACTAGTTTTTAGGCTCCTTCTCTTGTCCATGGTATGCATCTGTTTTTGCACTTTTTAAGTTTCAAATCAATCAATCAATCAATTAATAAAGTTCATCCTGGGAATCAAAGTGCATCTACCATCATTTTATCTTAATAATATTGTTGCTGTGTTGTTGTTGTTGTTGTTGTTGTTGTTTTTGTGGCATCAATTACGCGTAATTGGTGTGACATTAAATGCAGTCAATAAAGTGTAACTTCATCGGGGTCTGACATAACTGCCAACTGAAACCAGAACAACCACAAATCTGTCAAGGATTTTACACGCCAAAATATGCTTGTAAAATGCCCCAGTGAAACCCTACACTGGTCCTCAGATTCATCCAAATGGCTGTGGAATGCTCTGGTAAGCCAGTGAACAGTGACCTTACCATATACAGCTCATGGGCTAAATTTAACTATCCACATTTTCAACTTATACAGCCCATAGCCTTTTTATAATTAATTATTGCATACTTTAATCAGTAGAGTACATCTAAATGAGGGCTGGCAGTTTAGTTTCCTGATGGGGCCCAAGGGGTGGTTCAAGGTCAAACTATTATGCTGTGGGCGACCCACTGGGGCTTCTCCACCAGTCAGTGGTACCGTCAGCCCAAACTTACATCTGTGGCCTTCTTCTCAGCTAGCTCCAGTTTCTCCTGGGCATCCTTCAGGGCTTCAGAGTACTTGTCCAACTCATCCTCAGTTGACTTCAGCTTCTTCTGCAGTGCTACCAGGTCATCCTCAAGCTTGATGTCAGAGAAACAAGAGGGGGTTTAATAACATATAGACAGACAGACATCATTACCCTCAGACTCAATCACACCAAGTATGTGACACCTCACAGTGTCTGTAAATAATCTCTAAGGTGTGAAGATAATAAGTGTTAGCTCTGCATAGTGAAATCTATATAAACCATTTAGAAATACAATCATTTTCGGCTGTTAGAACATGCGCAATATTAGGCATTATAGCTGAATCCTACAATAAATGTAAATATTCCCATTTTGTTACCAACTTCATACAGCCCAAATATGGCGTAAAACAACCAAAAAAGCAACTTGTTAAAACTTTAAATCTTCATCTAATAGTATGAAGATAGTGCGGAACAACCATCGCTCCACCCAGATTGGGTTTGGCAAAGTGCTGGAAACATCAAGTCCAGACTGGTAAGTGAATCACTGCATAGTTCTAAGTGTGCGGAAATATTTTCTACCAGTTATTCTTATGAAGACGCATTGATTTTTTAGTCACAGGACGCTGGGCATGCAGGAACCATGCAGCGCCAGGCGCACCGTGCCAGCTGGCACCGGTGCGTAAAAGCACCAGAGCGCGTCTCACACTGGATGCCGACCTGTTTGCTCCTGTCCTCAGCTGCCTTCTTGTCTGACTCGGCCTGCTCAGCTCTATCCAAGGCGTTCTCCTTGTCGAGCTTGAGCATCTGCATCTTCTTCTTGATGGCATCCATGGCTGCTTATTGTCGGCGGTGTCCGCGCAAACCGAGAAACAAAAAGAAACTGAAAGAAAAGACGGGAGCGTCTGAACCACACTGAACGCCAAGCTGGAGTGCGAGCTCGCCTGGATTGTAGTGAGTCAAATATGTAGTTTGGCTCGGCAGTTACTGGATACCCAATACTTTTTTGGAAACAACTGCAGCTGTTTGTCAACGTGTGACCGGTCTTTTTTCTGGATCTCTTCAGTGATTCGCTCTTGCATGATATTTGACCACTTCTATGACTATACATGGGGTACAGACGTCAGGAGGGTACACCCCTCTCACACCAAGATTTCTCAGTCCACTCCTATTTCTAACACCCTCCAAGTGACAGGCAGGAAGTGGAGTGTCAAGACTCAAAGAAGTAGTAGCTCCTCTGAGGGGGGCTATTTGGGACAAACATGTTGATATTTGTGACCTTATTATCACCCAGGAAAATAACCCAGGACCTTCATGTGAGAACAACAGACATCATTTGAGTATTGTCTTACTATTACTTATACTTTTTACATATGGCTTTTGCCAAAACAAATGATTTCAAACACAAGTTAATCATGAACTCACAACACATGTCAACATTTCAACAGAGATTGGTTCCAGATTGGATTGTAATAGCCCCCCATGCATCAGAGCTATTCATACAAAACAAATATATCTGATTGGATAAGCCCCTGTGAAAGTTCCTCTCCCTGTGTGGTGTGTCATATTAGCCAGTATGGCTTGTTTGTCTTCCAGGGATCATTTCAGCAGCTCCCTCACAGCATAGTTTCACGTCCGAACAGCAATCAGATAGGCTTTGCTGTCTGTAGAGGTGTATCATCGAGCTCGTCCAACTCCTCTCTCAGCTATGAGAGTTACATCTCAGATGGGCCACGGTGGATATAGTGGCATGCACGCTGGAAGACACAGAAGCTGTGGCATTTCCACAGCCCCCCCCCCCCGCGCCTCCACGATAGTTCACAAGGTCACTGGCACAGCCGCAGCTGTCACACACAACCTGTGGTCAGGACGAGTGCAGGGTTGAGTAAGAATAGTTTACAGCCAACTACAGTAATTCATTTTTTTTTTATTTTTTAGCACATGTTGGGGAAACTGAACCTTAAGAAGAAGAATCAGGCTTCAAATATGGGTGAAATTAAGATGTATAGGTTAGATATGCTGCACACACACACTAGTGTTATGTAAAACTATATGAAAAGCACTGTCTCTTGTCCATGAGGCATAACAACCCACACTGACAGTATTTTGTCACTCTCTAAGGAGCCTTGAGACTTAAGCATCCCCCCTGTCTTCCCATGTCTCCACTCCTCTGCTAGTGTTCTGTTGAGTGTATATTTTTGGGATCTAGCTGTTTGAAGGGCACCTGCTTGACTCTGTCCACAGCTCTTGTAGCCACTCCCACCCGCACTGAGCCCGACTTTTACAAAAGGGGCCTTAGCTGTCTTGCAGATCACTGTGGTTCCTTTGTGAAAGAAACTGAGGGAAAACAGATAAAACAAGCAGCCTAAATAATAACTCATACCCAGACACGTTACTGTTCTTAAGTCTTGATCAGCCTTACATTGAGCTGGATAAATCTCACCCCAGTAATAAATGCAGCCGATGCAGAAACACTTGTGGAGGATCTAACAAACTGGTCTCAAAGTTTTTATGGCAAAATTGTTTTAAGTCTATTTTTTACATTCAATTGCTTGTCCCTTCAGGTCTGTGGTTTCTGCTCTTATAGTTTTTCTCTATGGTGGTCTGGCCTCATATCCTACCTATAGAGCTTTTTTTAAGGCAGTCAGCTGTCACTGTGTTGTCATGCTGCCATGTGTTTTGTGGACTGTTAAGCAGCCAGCCAGGCATGCCAGTCATATGCAGAGATCAGAGAGGCTCACGGTGCAATCCATGTCAACCTCACACCCTGGATAGATAGAGAGACGAACATCCACGCATTGTACCTGTCCAACAAGTAATGATTTACTCAGATTGAGGGTTAGATGTTTAAGTAATTCTAAAATACTCGGGCCTTGAGTTCTCTGTAGTGCAAACAGAGGTCTTTTTTTTAAAGTAACTTAGTTTGTGATGTTTATATTCTCCTTCCAGGGTCATTGTACATGGACATGTTTACAGTATTATATATGAGTGGTCATCTTTATGGCTTCGTCTGAGCTTTTTAATGACATTTATTCACATTAATGGCAGGGATTGCCAATTTACAATCTATAAGGCTATTTACTATTTTATTTGTAGAATGACTTTGTCTTTACTCGTCATCTCCAGACTTGAGTAAATAGTTAAACTGGTTAAATGATCAGGTATTAAACCAATTTATTGTTCTCATTTTTGCACGTCATAGCCATTATTTCTTGAGTACTGCTCAATGGAAATCTTTTAATTAGTTGGTACACTGGAAAAAAATTTTCACTGTCAGTCAAATTTATGCTGACAAGTGTCATAATCAAAACAGCCCGCAGCATTCCCACAATTCCCATCATGCAGGAAAGTCTTTGGCCCTGTAACAATGACGTTTCGGACGTTTAAAGAGCCACAGTTGAAGTTTAAACACCTTTGAAGTTTTATTTCATTAGGTGACCACTGTCTGTTGATGGCCATGCATGCATTACTGATTTATTGTTGCGAAGACCTCATAAATCTAAACACAGTCTTTGTTTGTGGTTTCTTCTGTAATTGACTGCGATAATTCAAGTTGGATTTTTACAGGAATCTAGCAGTTTGCAGACTAAATAGTGACAGCACAGTTGAGTCAAACCTTGATGCAAGCAGCGTCATACTGCTAATAAAAGCCCAGAGCTGTTCATTATAGATGTGTTGAGACAGCTGGGTGAGCAGTTCCCAGACAAAAACGGGAGTACTGTGATGATTTCATTGTTAGTGTCTAGACTGGAATTTCCCACTTCCTTCTCAATAATTAAAAGTATAGAGGAGGAAGAATGTTGGTGCTCAACCCAATCCCTCTGAGTCAAACTTTAGCCCTTGCTTCAACTCAACTGAATCAAGCTTATCAAAACGATTTAGACGCTAAAGGCTAATATGTGAGGTCATGTAAAAATATCAGTGTGATGAGTGTGTTAACCCACTGTGCAATGTCCTTGTTACCGCCTGTCATTGCTGTGTCATTTTCCATCAGTGGAGTCACACAGCCAACAACCGGATGTGACAGAGGTGTTTTTATTGGAAATGAAAAAGTGAAAAAATGAAGGAGTGTCAGTGAAGAGAAAGAAAAAAGAAGCCATTTGTGCCTGTGGTGCTTACAAGTCAGGGCAGGTAACATTATATTGAATACAACAGTCTTCAGTGGATGAGGCCTATAACCTTGCTATGTAGCACGCAGCACTCATCAGTAACCGTACCCGCTTTCTGACTTTTATTATAATTAGATTTAGGGCATAAAAATAATGGATGAGCTGTCTTCTATCAGCTGCTTGTCCACATTAAATTCAATGCCCTCGTCCTTTTAGTCAGGGTTTTCTCTGTCTCTTCCTCAGCCAGCTCAGTGTAACAAGGCCTCTTGTTACAAGTCTGATCCAGTAGGAACTGGAAAATGTTGAAAGAGTTTCTCAGAGTGTTATCACTTAGACGAGCATATACGCTGTAGTAGCCTTGAAGAACTAAATTTAAGAGAAAATGGCAGAAAAAGGACCCCAGGTTTAAAAGCAGCGTTGGTAGCAGCTGCGCCACAGTAATTGACATTGCCGCCTCAAATTTTAGTGCCGGACAAATTTAGCGCGGCTCTCACTTCTTAGCATGGACTCAATATAGCTTCAGGTTTAGTGCTGACTCAGAAATACCATCTTGTACTGACACTTAGAGACCTTGTTCACTTGCCAGCACACACCTCTGTTATTCGGTTGGACTGGAGAACTTACAGTGGCTCTGCATCCTGTCAGTGCTGCTCCTATTGTGAGATGATGTAACAGACACACATGGAGAGTTGGATGTTTCATGTTTTATTTCTTCTGCCAACTGTTAAATTTTACTTTCTGTACATCGTATTTCCCAAAATAAAGGTCTTGATTCTGTTTTAAAGCCGTCTCCAAACCGACAGGAATAAAATTCTGGTGGAGAACTGAGTCCTTCTAGGTCTAAATATTAAACCGTAGTACATTTTGAGTACCAACCTACACTGATGTACTGAGCAAACTGATATGTTACGTTAAATGAGAGTAAAAATGGTCAAAAATAAGTTTATATTAACCAAAGTAAGGTGTTGTATTGGCACCAATATTGATACCCCTCCCAAAGTCTTTGCTTTTTATTTGCCTTGAAGAAGTAAAATTTGAGAATATCGAGTCTGAACACACTGGGAACAGAAACAACCAAAATGACTAAGTTTTGAATTGTCTAACATTAATTTCCTCCAGGTTGCTAAAACACTCATTTACACAGAAAATACTGAGGACATGACCCCAGTGTCCTCAGTGGTAGCTACGGCCCTGAATGTGGTCACAGATTCCTGAGATTGTGAAGAATGTGATACAGGTCATGTGCCCCAAATAACAAAAGAGTGCATCTTAGTTTTTTCTTGTCGGGCAGAATCTCAATAATTAAAATTAATTCATTGATTGGTTTAACTGAAACACCCCAAGTCCATGGCTCAGTGTTGAGAAGACTTTGGTGACACCAGTTCACTTGAATGATATTTTATTTATAAGCCTCTCTGTTGGAAAATGCAGAAATACGGACAAGTAATAGCCTACGCGATTCAAAAATTTTGAAAAATTGAAAAGGTATGTAACTGGAAATCACCAATGTCTTATAATAACTCATTGAAATCTGGAGGACAATATTTTACTTCTTCTCAGTGGTGTAATTCAGGTATACATTGCTTAGGAGACGTTATAAATGACACTGATTTAAGAAGCTTTCAGGATTTGAAGGAAACATAGAAACTGTCATCCAAATCCTTTTTTCTATATCTACAATTACGTTCTGCTATACGGGCTGCAAGTATCTTGAGTGGCAGCTGACTTGTTATTCATCCAATAATTAACTTAATTAGGAAACTGTCTGGATGAGCTTAAAGGACATGTTTTTTTAATTCATAATACTTTGTTAGAGCCTCCACAGACTCCACTAGGCATTATGGCAATTTG